CACTTAGGGATTATAACCCTTACTAAGTAGAATTCTCCTTTCTGTGTCGCCGGAAAAGGGGGCCGGAAGTACTTTTGCGCAGAACTTCTTTCTGCGTAGGCGGCCTTCGGCCGCACTTAGGGATTATAACCCTTACTAAGTAGAATTCTCCTTTCTGTGTCGCCGGAAAAGGGGGCCGGAAGTACTTTTGCGCAGAACTTCTTTCTGCGTAGGCGGCCTTCGGCCGCACTTAGGGATTATAACCCTTACTAAGTAGAATTCTCCTTTCTGTGTTGCCGGAAAAGGGGCCGGAAGTATTTTTGCGCAGACCTTCCCTCTACGTAGGCGGCCTTCGGCCGCGCTTAGGGATTATAACCCTTACTAAGTAGAATTCTCCTTTCTGTGTCGTCGGAAAAGGGGGCCGGAAGTACTTTTGCGCAGAACTTCTTTCTGCGTAGGCGGCCTTCGGCCGCGCTTAGGGATTATAACCCTTACTAAGTAGAATTCTCCTTTCTGTATTGCCGGAAAAGAAGGGCGGACGTATTTTTGCGCAGAACTTTTCTCTGCGTAGGCGGCTTTCAGCCGCGCTTAGGCATTAAAACCCTTACTAAGTAGAAGTAAATAATTCATATTAGAAAAAACGAAATTATCCATATGCACACTTTCGCTAGAAAACCGAAATAATGCATATAACAAAAACCGAAATAATGCATGCATGCTCAGTTTCGGTTGAAAACCGAAATAATGCATATGAAAAACCCGAAGTAATGCATACATGCACAGTTTCGGTTGAAAACCGAAATAATGCATATGGTAAAAACCGAAATAAAGCATAAATGCACAGTTTCGGTTGAAACCGAAATAATGTCTAAATGCACAGTTTCCATATGCGCAATTTCGGTGCCCCGGTATCGAATGCACTGTTAAAGTATATACTTGCTTTTCTGCCTATTCAAAATCTGGGTTGTGACAATCTGTGCTATCGCTGAAACCATCGTAGTCCGATTTTCGTAAAATCTACGAAAATGCGATCACTGAATCCGACTTGCTACGAACGTATGCATTCAAATTGTATGACATCTTCATAGAGTAATCTGAACTTTGCCCTCCAGCGCGACACGCCTTAACCGACTCCAATCGGGGCCTAAATTTATATGTGATATCTTCGACTATAGTAGCATCGAGGTAGGGGTTGAGGCTTAGGAAATCTGATGTTAAAATTTGCTTCGTACATTTAAGGACCATCCTAATATACATATCAGCGACTATTCAGAAATTTCATAAATGAAAATCTATTTTTCATGACCAAGCAGCTATCATTGCTGACTACTGTTTTTCTGGAATTTCATTAAATCTTTGAAAGCTGAGTGAAGTCCCCTCATATTCAATTTTATTATACTTTGTGTCAGAACTGAAAAACTGCAAGTTTTTTTTAGATAATAGGTGTGTTTTTTACACGCATAAATACGTATCTGCGCTTAAAATTTGTATGGAGCTGTAAGCGACAGACTTTATGCGTGCTTATGAATCGATAAAATCAAAATTACTTTTTTTTTTAAATGGAAATTTTCGATGCTTGTTTTTTTTACACGTTAAGCGTAGATGTACATGCGTGTAAAAAAAAACACGCCTAATATAATTGGATTGTTAAATTCACCGCTCTCCCATAATTCTTTTACAACTTCGCTGTACTTTTTACATTTAACTACGACTGATTTTTAACAGTAAACTAAAAAAAGGTCTCACGTGTTTTAATTGCTCAATACTATTCAGCCCAGATTGATGGGTTTGTAGATTATACAAAAAAAAAATTCAAATTTTTTACAACTAAGTCTATTGGTAATTGCTTTATTTAATTCCCTAAATTTATTATAATTCATTTAAATTTGTCGCCAAGAAATCGAGTATTTTGAGAGCTGAATTGAGTACAGCCGCTACTTAATTGCCTTCACCACCATTATACTTGCTTTTGGTATCTCAAGTACTCGGAAATTATAAAATTTTTTTAGCTGAATTGTATTCAGCGCTAAATTTATTGTAACCAACTTACAATAATTAGTGTGTAAAAGCTAAATAATTACTAAAAATTACTTTATTTGTTGGCTG